CGCCGCCCCCATTGGCCCGGGACGGCGAACCGCGGCCAGTGGGGGCCGCGATCGGCCGAACCTGCCGCGTCAGCAGGTAAATAAACTGGCCCGGCCCGCCAGGGTGCTTACCCTGGCGAGCCATGTGCCAAACGTTGCCGACCCCTGGCCTACGGCAGGGGTCAGCAGCCTTTCAGAAGTGGTGGTGTGCCGAGTCTTAATTTATTCACTCTAATTTAAGGTTTTGCGTGCCAGCCATACATTTTAATGTTTTTAGAAGGTCTCTTTCTATAAGTCTATAATGTATAACTAAATTGTTGTATGTAAAGTAAATAAGGTTTTTAAAATGTTTAAGAAGCTTCATTTAAAATTAAATTAAAATGCAGAGCCCCCCCGGACCGGTAGCCAGGACCCGGGCAGTGAGAGTGCCACTGAAAATCAGCTCATGTGCCGCCTTTGCCACGTGTGCCATAGGTTGCCTACCCCTGGTTTGGGGATGGAAGATAATAGCAGGGATCTCAAACTTAATTTACCTTAGGATCAGTGCCAGTCCTCAAATCCTCCCAGTGAGCTGCTAATGTCACTGAAGATGGTGTTCAGAAAATAAAACATTTATATTGTATTTTTTATTTTGAATTTCTTAGAAATAATGAAATTGTCATACAACTTTATACAATTCTTCGCCTGCCAGAAAAAAGAACAGGAGTACTTGTGGCACCTTAGGCTTGGTCTACACTTACCCCCGCAAGTCGAAGTAAGGTACGCAAATTCAGCTACGTGAATAACGTAGCTGAATTCGACATACCTTACTTCGAACTTACCGCGGTTCAGACGCGATCCACACGCGGCAGGCAGGCTCCCCGTCGACTCCGCGGTACTCCTCTCGTTGAGCTGGAGTACCGCAGTCGACGGGGATCACTTCCTGGTTCGATTTATCGCGTCCAGACCAGACGCGATAAATCGAACTCGGAACTTCGATCCTCAGCCGCCGAACTAGCGCGGCAGTGTAGACCAGCCCTTAGAGACTAACAAATTTATTAGAGCATAAGCTTTCGTGGGTTATAACCCACTTCTTCGGATGCATATAGAGTGAAACATATATTGAGGAGATATATAGATATATATATATAGATATATATATACACACACACACACAGAGAGAGCATGAACAGGTGGGAGTTGTCTTACCAACTCTGAGAGGCCAATTAAGTAAGAGGGAAAAAAAACTTTTGAAGTGATAATCAAGATAGCTCAGTACAGACAGTTTGATAAGAAGCAAGTGTGAAAATACTTACAAGGGGAGATAGATTCAATGTTTGTAATGGCTCAGCCATTCCCAGTCTTTATTTAATCCTGAGTTGATTGTGTCTAGTTTGCATATCAATTCCAGCTCAGCAGTCTCTCGTTGGAGTCTGTTTTTGAAGTTTTTCTGTTAGCCTCCCGCAGGTCTGTCATAGAATGGCCAGACAGGTTAAAGTGTTCTCCCACTGGTTTTTGAGTATTATGATTCCTGATGTCAGATTTGTGTCCATTAATTCTTTTGCGTAGAGACTGTCCGGTTTGGCCAATGTACATGGCAGAGGGGCATTGCTGGCACATGATGGCATATATCACATTGGTAGATGTGCAGGTGAACGAGCCCCTGATGGTATGGCTGATGTGATTAGGCCCTATGATGATGTCACTTGAATAGATATGTGGACAGAGTTGGCATCGGGCTTTGTTACAAGGATAGGTTCCTGGGTCAGAGGGGTAGCTGTGTTAGTCTCTATCAACAAAAACAATGAGGCGTACTTGTGGCATCTTAGAGATTAATAAATTTATTTGGGCATAAGCTTTCGTGGGTTTTAACCCACGAAAGCTTATGCCCAAATAAATTTGTTAATCTAAGGTGCCACAACTACTCCACAGTTTTTAGTGTTTGCTAGACACCTGGCAACGCTTCAGTTCTGTCAGTTTGTTGATGTTTGGCCTCAGTGACTGAGCAGTTGAAACCTTCAAGATTGTAGAAAGGTGTGCTTCAGATAGTTGTGTTCGGTATTTTGACTTGTTTATATTCATTGTGGAAAAAAGTGATGCTGCCTCCATGGCTGACTGTGCCCGGCAACTAGTGATGCTGCCTCCATGGCTGACTCTGCCAGGCAACAAATGATGATATCTCTGTCCCTCTCCCCCAGCCAATGGGAGCTACGGGGGGGCGGCGCCTGTAGCAAACATTGCCAGCAGCGTGGCTGCCTGCACCTTTCCTCCGCTGGCTGCAGTGGGGAGGTTCTTGGGCCGCAGATGGCCCGTGGGCCGGGAGTTTCAGACCCCTAGTATCAAGGACAACATGGATAAGAAAAGATTCTTATAAAGCTTTTAAATGCCCTATTAAAAAAGGAACATGTGTGGGGGGAGGGGTGTTATGGCTAAACCAAACCTTCCTATGACTAAAGAGTATAGCTATAATATCAGGTAATGCACAATGACTATTAGATGTGAAGAAGCTAACTTTCTAGACTTACAGAGCTGTTTATTTCTAGGTTACCAAAAGCAGTAAAAAGAAGAATTGATGCCTTGAAACAACTCCAGGTGAAGTGTGCCCATATAGAAGCTAAATTTTATGAAGAAGTTCATGATTTAGAGAGAAAATATGCAGCCCTCTATCAACCTCTCTTCGATAAGGTAGGAAGTCTATAAAGATCTTTTCCAAACTGCTGTTTTCTCAAACTTCCTTTGTTTGGAGGTAAATAGAGAAGAATAAAATAGAAACAAATTATCTCTCCTTTCTCTGTCTCTTCCCCCCCCCCCCCCATCTGCCTTAAAGAGAAGCTTGGATTACCAATCTAGAACTCTAGTCCTTGTTCTTTTCTCATCCTATCAGATGTTCCATATTGTAAAAACTGTACGTCCAGTGATAAAGGCTGGGGTTAGTTACTCCTTTCGTAACTCTAAAGAGGGGAACTGCTGGAGAGCTTTGTAAAGCATTCTTTTCTACTCCTCTGATTGTATTAAAAACTCCAAGACTTACGGACAGTTTCCCCATTTACAGGATCTATAGCAGATGCACTAGCATATCCAAAGCATGTTCTTGATATCTCTACTCCAGCACCAGTCAGTCAGTTAGGTCTTTTCCTGCAAAGCCTGGCACTCAGACTAGTTGACTATACATTACAAAATAAACAAAACCTCACAAAGGAATTAAACGGGCTAACAAAACAAGGCAATACCTGGAAAATCCCTGTCAGATTCCTGAACGTGTTGCTGGGTGTAAAAGAAGGTATATAGTGCGTCTGTATCCTATACTTGGGCTCTTGGGTTTATTAGAACTGCACTAGATAGTACATTTTAGCAACTTTTCTAGATCCCAGCCTCCTCACTTTTTAAAAATTGTTTCAAAAACCATAACACACAAACAAAACTATTGATGCTGTGACAATATTCACAAGTCACGCTTTCTTTTGTTTACATTCAATAATGAGAAAATAGCAAAAACCTTTCTGGAGGTGGAGGGTGGTGTACATTTTCTCAAAGGTAGACATCTACACAAAGTAGACAAAGATTCTTCTCTTTGACAGAAGAATTCCTTTAATTGGTGGAGAACATTCTTTAGTACAACAGATTGTTTGTTCTTAATGTCAACTCTTGGTTTTTACCTAAATTTTAGCTTTAACATTCACCATGTTAGATATAAATAATAATGAACTCTTTGGAGACAATTTCATCCTTTGTCTATTCATGTCTTCATTTTCTTTGCATAGCTAATACAATCCTATCGATTACACAGAAAAATGCAATTGAACTTATATGTGAAAAGTGTATTTGTGGCCTGCTGCGAACTCCTAAAATTGATACCTGTGATTCTGAATTTCCTGACATTGACCATCTAAAAAACACTGCAGTTTTTGATAGTGGGACAGTTTCTCTACTCTGGAGCATTGGCAGAATCTGGCCCAAGGAGGCTCATACTAGTGTGGGGGAATCTTCTGGTGACATAGAGCTAGTATACTGGTTTTGCACTAGCTCTCCTTGCTGCTGGCCAAGTGTGTGTGGCTGGTGCTTTACTAAGCCCTGCTGGTCTCTGACTGCATTTTCAGCCTCTTGGTGGTGTTGGCAGCCTGTGTAACTCAGCCATTAGGCTACTCCAAAGTTACGTTGAGGACTTGTCTGGTGCAGAGCCAGTGAAAAAGTGAACTTTATACCATCTTTGCAGTCTCCATCTTTCCTCCATTGCTGTGATCCTCTGCTGTGGCTGAGGATTTCTCTTTTGTACAGAACTTTTTTTGCTCCCCTGTGGTGTGTAAGGGTCTCTAGCAAAAGTGCAACTAATGCCTGGTCTATACTAGGAAATTAAGTGACCGTTATACTGACCTAGGGGTGTGAAAATTCAACACCTCTGAGCTATGCAGTTAAACCAACCTAACCCCCATTGTAGACAGTGCTAAATTGACAGGAGAACCCTTTCCGTCAGCATAGGTAGTATCTTCACAGAAATGCTATAGTAGCACAGCTGTGCTCCTATAGTGGTTTATTTGCAGACATACGCTGACTGCTATACAAGAGTAGGAACTATTTGACAGAACCATTTGTATAGCCAAAGTACGTGAGCTAAAAGTTATTTTTGCTGACATTCAGTGGTACCTGTTTGAAATTGTAGTAAAGTACAAAACAGACAATTGTGACTTCCACTTTTTTGTTTTCACTTTAAACATAAGTAACTCTAGTTCTGTTTAGTTCATTTATGTTGTAACTTACTGTTAATACATGTGGTAACCACCCTAATAAGTTGTTTGTTACCTTCATGCTCTTACCCTAATAATCGGGGATACTTATCTATCCTATTAATGAGTCAATTGTTTTCCTTGGGGTTTTTTAAGGATTGTTTTGCAAGCTGGGAGTCATTATGAGAGAATTAATTTTTGTATTTTGCCAGAGGCAGTAATTTTGCCCAGCCTTTTATAGCAGCCCAGGGAATTGTTCAGAGTAACCTTTAATTACTGCTTTCATATTTTTCTCCCTTAAATGTATAATTCTCTTGTGCAGAGAAGGGACTTTGTCATTGGTGAAGCTGAACCTACAGATGCAGAGTCAGAGTGGCACAGTGAAAATGAGGAGGAAGAAAAACTAGCTGTGAGTAGAAACAAGCTAATCATTAGTTTGAAAATTTGATAAAGGACTAATTTTGTTTATATAGCCTGAAAGATACTGTCTTAAATCTAATTTCTTTGAAATCTAGATTTCATATAGAACTCTTGTAATAAGCACAAGCCTGGACTGAACACAATGACATATAGGACTTGTCTACACGAACAGTTAGTTCTTGGCAAGTTGGGGTGTGAATTTAATCTACCCCATTCTAGCCCGCCATGGACTCTCTCTCTGGACCTTGCTGACATGTATTAACAGTTTAATTCTCTTTGATATCATCCTTTTTCAAAGAGGACCAGATCAAAGCGTATTATCAAACGGGTTAATGCATGTCAGCAGGGTCCATACAGATAGTTGGTCCATGGAAGCTAGTGTGGCATAGATTCTCACTCTAACTTGCTGTGAACTAAATGTTTACATAGACAAACCCAAACTTTATTCAGTGTTCTAAAATTATAATCCAGTTTACTTTTAATTTTTCACTTAAGCAAAAATACCTAAAATAAGAAGACTTAAACAACCGGAAGGGAGAGGAGTTAAGTTAAGGGCCAGTGTTGGCACAAGAACAAATGAATAGAAACTGGCCATCAGTAAGATCAGACTTGAAATTAGACAAAGGTTTCTAACCATCAGAAGAGCGAAATTCTGGAATAGCCTTCTAAAGGGAGTTGTGGAGGGGGGAAACTTAAAACAGATTAAGACTGAAGGCAGAGGTGAAAGTAAGCCGGTCCAGTCCAGTATGGCATACCGGCAAGAGCTAGTACGGTGTGCTGGAGCGCACTGCCTTCCGCGGCAGGGATTTAAAGGGCTCTGGGCTCCCTGCAGTGGCGGGGAGCCCAGAGCCCTTTAAATCCCGCCCGCAGCTTCGGCGGGTGGCGATCAATCTGTCAGGGATTGATTTATCGCGTATAGTGTAGACGCGATAAATCAATACCCGATCGCTCTCTCGTCGACTGCTGAACTCCAGCTCAGCGAGAGGCGGAAGCAAAGTTGACGGGGGAGTGGCAGCTGTCGATCCCGCGCCGCGAGGACGCGAAGTAAGTGATTGTAAGTTGATCTAAGATACGTCAATTTCTCTCTCCCCTCCTTCCCCTCCCCCCCCCCCCCCCCAAGTGTAGACCAGGCCTGAGTTACTGCAGGTAACTTTACCAGCTGTGTGTCTGTCCTGGATTTTGGCCACATGTTCAGGGTATAGCTGATTGTCATATTTGGGTTTGGGAAGGAATTTTTCCCCAGGTCACATTGGAAGAGACCTTGGGGGGGGGGGGGGTTTGCCTCCCTCTGTAGCTTGGGGCACTGGTCACTTGCTGGTTTGAACTAGAGTAAATGATGGATTCTCTGTAACTTTGAAGTCTTTAAATGAAGATTTGAGGACTTCAGTAACTCATCCAGAATTTATGTCCCTACTACAGGAGTGGATGGGTGAGGTTCTGTAGCCTGCAATGTGCAGGAAGTCCGGCTGGATGATCATGGTGGTCACTTCTGGCCTCAAATTCTCCGTTTAAAATTAAATTTTGGAAATTTACTGAATTTTTACACCAGTATATTGCCATCAACAAATACTGTTTAACGGTTGTTTGTTCCTTATCATTTGCACTGTTCGTAACCTGTTGACAGTATCTTTCTGCTAATGGGTTCCATTCCAGTGCTACATAAATCACCAAAGTAATACAAGGCTGGCTGGCTGGCTGGCTGTTCTTTATTTTGGGGGACATAACTAGCTTTTAGTGCTATGAATACAGATTTGACAAATAGATATCTCAGACTTCGGTGAAGTGTATTGTAAAGCAAGTTTTATTCCAATAGAGATCCAGCAGCCAGCATGCTTTTTATATATTCTGTGTGTAGTAGAAAATATTGTGTTTTAACAAGGGCCTTCTATAGCTTCAGCACATTCCATTTATATTTAATGAGTTTTAGGGACTCTCTCTCTCTCTCTCTCTCTCTCTATTTATATAAAATACACACACACTTTTTTTCCTTTCTTCCTGACTTGTTCTCCATTTTCTTTAGTCATTCTTATCTCTGTGCAAAATTAATACTACCCTCATTCTATATTTACTAGTCATTGTATTTGATGGTAATCCACAGTACTAACACAGGCACAAATGACAAGGTTTCTAAATCTATGGGATGAGTGGCAACAGTTTACGAAGTTACTGGCATGTGTTGAGGACCGTTTTTTGGTAACTTCCAGCAGTCCTCAAGCAATTGAAGTTTGTAATGCTTTCTGAGACTTCCTGTTTACCTATTCTTATGTATATACACAAGTTCAATTAATCTTATGAACTGCTGTAAATATTGCCCAAACATGATCCTTTGGTAAATGTAATAAATTGCTGTTCCCTGCTCTTGACTCATCACTCAAATAGCAGATATTGTTGGAGGCAATTCTAAGAGCTTCTGGTGATGCTACCTTTGCTACTGCAAAGCAGCAGAATTCTTCATGATCAAGAACTGGATTTGCTGCGTTGTTGGATGAGGACATAGTAGCAGGGACATGTATTAGCACAATCCCATGCTGAATTTTAGTTCTGTATTAATTTTTTTCTCCACATACAACGAGCAGCTTTCTGTGCCCCAAAGAGAAGAACCCGGACAGCATATTCTGTAGGTACTTTTCATTATTACATCAGACATAAATTTGCCAGATGTTTCCTAGAAGACTTGGAAAGACTGTCTCTATCCCACAAGCTACCAATTTAAATTGTAGATAGAGGATTGGTCTCTTTCTTGCCCTGTAGAACAGTACACCTCTACCCCGATATTGGTTCTCAGGAGCCAAAAAAATCTCAGTGTTTATAGGTGAGACCGCATTACATCAGGGTAGGGAGAGGAACCACTTTTACCGCTCCCCGCCCCAGCTTCCCCCCCCCCCCCGTCCCCCCCCCCCCCCCCCCCGTTTCCTCCCCCCCCCCCCCCCCCGCCCCCCCCCCCCCCCGCTCACCTCCGCTCCATCTCCTCCCACGAGTGCATTTTTGCATCTGTACCATATTTTTCATTACTGTTTTAAATTAACAGAGCTGAGCGGCGTGTTTGTGGGAGGAGGTGGAGGCAGAGGTGAGCTGGGGCAGGGGGATGCAGCAAGTAAGGGGGGGGCATAGAGGAACCCCTCCCCGCCCCAGCTCACCACCTCCTCCTCTTCCCACAAGCACGCTGCTCAGCTCTGCTTCTCCTCCCTCCCAGGCTTGCCGCACAAAACAGCTAATTGGCGCACCAGGCCGGGGGGGGGGGGGTGGGAGCGGAGCTGCGGCGCACTCGGGGGAGGGGGGGGAAGGGGGGGGAGCGGGGGCGGGGGGGGGAGGGCCACAGCAAGTAACGGGGCGGTGCAGAGGGAACCACTTGTGGTAACACGAATTCAGATATAATAAGGTAAAGCAGCCTCGTCCCCCGGAGCACTGCTTTACTGTGTTATATCGGACCACATTATATCTGGGTAGAGGGGTACACCTCCACCTATCTAGGTAGAGGTGTACATCTACATCTACACTCTACCCCGATATAATGCGACCCGATATAACACTAATTCGGATATAACACGGTAAAGCAGCGCTCTGAGAGGGGAGGAAGGGGGGAACTGCACGCTCCGGCGAATCAAAGCAAGTTTGATATAACGCGGTTTCACCCATAACGCGGTAAGGTTTTTTGGCTCCTGAGGACAGCATTATATCGGGGTAGAGGTGTACATCTACTTAGTTTAGGCATGTACCTGTCTTTAGGTTTTATTATTTTAGCGTATTTAAAAAAACCCTAAGTATAGCAAATGAAATTGGAAAGTTATCTGTTTGTATCTTGTAGTCAAGAATTCCATGGAAATTGAAAGCACTTTAAACTAGTACCAAACCAGCAGCAGTTGTACGTACTTTAAAATTTACAAATATGGAAAGACAGTTGTAAATCAACTTTGGATCTGTTTGACTTAATTTGTAAGTGGAATTGACTATCTTGGTTTAAAACCATCTCTAAGCATGAACTTTCAAGTCACAATTTTCAGGAATCTGACAGCATTTTAAACATCTACAGTAGGACCTCAGAGTTACAAACACCTCGGGAATGGAGGTTGTTCGTAACTCTGAAATGTTCGTAGCTCTGAACAAAAAATATTATAGTTCTTTGAAAAGTTTACAACTAAACATTGATTTAATACACCTTTGAAACTTTACTATGCAGAAGAAAAATGCTGCTTTCCCTTTTCTTTTTTAGTAGTTTGTTTAAAACAGTGCTGTACTGTATTTCCTGCACGCTGTGTGCGTGCGCTGCTGCCTGATTGCTTACTTTTGGTTCCAAATGAGTTGTGTGATTGACTGGTCAGTTCGTAACTTTGGTAGTCATAACTCTGAGGTTCTACTGTACTTTTTATACTAAGTGAGGAAGGCTCTTAATTATGAAGAGTTTGTGCTTTTCTTAAACATTTCTATGTTTACTTCATAGGGAGACCTCAAAAACAAAGTAGTAATAGAAGAGAAAGAAGCAGCAGCAGCTGCAACAGAAGAGTCAAATCCCAAAGGAATTCCAGACTTCTGGTTTACAATCTTTAGAAATGTAGATATGCTAAGTGAATTAGTACAGGTAAGCGAATTCCATTTGAAAAAGCTAACTTCACCTGCTTTTCTCTCCCAATTATTAGATGAAACTTGAGGAAGATGTGAGTAACCAAGAGCTTGCAGTTCTTGAGAATCCTTTACCTGGTCTTTGTCAAATAAAACACTTGAAGATAGTTTGTAGTTTGCTTGCTTGTCAAAACAATTATTCCCATGTTTTTGCCACTTTATTTTGTTTAGGTAGTTGTATAATTTAAGGATATCTTGAGCAAGTACTTAAACTGGCTATACCTATATTGGACTGGACTTCTATATTTGTTACATTATGTTGCATTCTGCCCTTATACAATTTATCCTATTAACTTTCTGTTAATATTTTGGAATAATCCCCTAAAACTAGTCATTTTTGTACATCTGTCACATCATGCCTCTGCTTAGTAGTGGAAGTAGTAATTGGAGTTTTCATCTTCCAAGAAGTTTAATTTTCAGTCACATGCTACCCCAGGAGATGGCAACTTTCACTTCAAAGATAAGATGACAGATTTCAACAAATGAGACTTTGGCAAATGACAGTTTTAAAGTAATTTCAAAGAACTTGGATCTGAATTTCAAATTTATCACAAACTTGTGATCAAATTATTAGGTTCTACATAGCTCACTGCTCTGAAGTGAGCAAGTTTAGATGAAAATTTTGCTTTTCGAAATACTGCCTACTCAAACTTTTTTCCTTTCTGTTTAGGAATATGATGAACCAATCTTAAAACACCTGCAGGATATTAAAGTGAAATTTTCTGAACCTGGACAGCCTATGGTAAGTATTGTCTGAATTTTTTTTTTTTAAATAGTACACAGTAGTGATGGGCAATGGTTCAATATGTTTTTGATCCCTCCCTGCCTACAACCATCAGTGTGAAAACATGGGGCGTACTGTTCTGACCAAAGATTCCAAGCTTCAGGTTCTTAGCACAGATTTTTAGTTGTTTTTCTAGCCCTTTATTGTCTTGTACTCTAGCCAATCTTTATCATCACCTTCAACTCTATTCTACCTCCTCTTGTTCCCCTTTACTTAGGTTTAAAAGAGTGAACTAATTTTTGATATTGAAAAATTGAAACAGCTACTTATGCCATATTTAATACTTGGACAAATTAGTGAACGTTAGTCAAAAAGAATCATGTGTACTGTTCATCACATTAGAAAAACTATACCTTCCCCAAATAAAATGGAAATCAATGTGACTTAAGTTCTGTTAATTTAAAACAGTAATGAAAAATATGGTACAGATGCAAAAATACAGAAAGTTTGAACAAAAGATTTCATTTTTTTAACTGCACTTAGAAACATTTTTTTCCAGATAAATATACCCTTAGTTAATATCAACACAGCAGCTGGGATAAGTGATTCCTAGCTCAAATAGACATACACACACTAGCTAAGCTCATGCTAATGCCTAAAATAGCTGGGTGGTACAGCAGTTTCGTAGCCCATTTAAGTAGTCCCACTCAACCTCCTGCATTCATACTTGTGTGGTTAGCCTGAGCTGCCACCCATAGCTCCATGGCCACACTGCTATTTGTCATTTCTAGCTCAAGCAGAGCTACCATGCTTAAGTCTACCTGAGCTGGCAATTATACCTCCCAGCTGCTGTTTAGACATATACTCTGATGTCACTTTTTTTACAGTTTGTCAAACTTCTAGTGTAATCTTATCTGTGCAAGGAAAAAGCTAAAGTACTAGTGGAGTTTATAAATGAGCACACAAAGGGAATCATTTGGCACTCACCTGCAGAAATTAACTTAAATCAGTTATGTCTGGCTCATCATGATTGAACTTTAAAACATCTAGCTTATCAGGAAGCTAAAGTATTGGCAAGTACACCAGAAAGTATTCATGGACTTCAACTGTAAGTCTACAATTTTTGAGACAGTTTATTATAATAGAAGTCATTGCCTTAACAGTAGGTCATGCCAATCCTCTTTTGAATCAAGCAAAGTGGCCTGCACTGCTTGCCTCAGATATTTGTTGTGGACATCTGCAAGGCAGCAACATTTGCAAAACATAATTGCTTGCATTCAGTTTCCATAAGGAAATCCCATTTTGGTGCCTTAACACCCCATAACTTGTTTTTGTACTTGTTTGGACTCCTGTACTATGGAATCCTTTTTCTTTCAGGGTGTCCCTTACTTAAAGTGGCAAAACATCTGATTAGATTTTTTTTTTTTTTTTTTTTACTGGTACATTCTTCAGGCTACCTGTGTTATCCTGGAAATTTTGGAGAGGTCTTTGTTCTGTGTGTGTTTTAAAATACCTATTCAGGCATCGCTGGTTGCGCTATTTGCATTGGCCTAGTTCATGGGTTCTCAAATTTCATTGCACTGCGACCCCCTTCTGACAACAAAAATTACTACGCGACCCCAGGAGAGGGGACCGAAGCCTGAGACCACCCAAGCCCCACCATCCTGGGTGGGAGGGGCCAAAGCCCCACCGCCCCGGGGCCAAAGCTGAAGCCTGAGGTCTTCTGCTCCAGGCTGGGGGCCCATAACCTGAGCCCCGTCATCCAGGGCTGATGCCCTTTGGCTTTGGCCCTGGGCAGTGGTGCTCAGTCTTCAGCTTTGGCCCCAGGCCCCAACAAGTGTAAGCCAGCCCTGGCGACCCCATTAAAATTGGTTCGCAACCCACTTTGAGGTCCCGACCCACAGTTTGAGAACCGCTGACATAGTTGTTGTCTGTTGAAAACATTTTTGTGCGATGGGGTGGAGGAGACAACAGCCTCCCTCAAGCTTCTTTCCATCCCTCTGAATTTCATTCCTGGAGTATCTTCTTTAGAGAAGGCAAAAGTACTTGCCTGTAACTGCTTTTTTGAAAGTATCATTCTGACAAGATTCTTGCTCATGTCCCTTCAGACCTCTTGATGATGATGTTGGTTTTTGCACCTTGACCCTGTTTTTAAGACTTTTTTTTTTTTAAGGGGATGGATAGCAGGGAGGGAGCTTTCTTCCTGCAGAGTTGAAACTGACTACAGTGTTCTAAGGGTAATGGTCAAACTCATGCTAGCTCAGGCTGGCCAGTAGAGGGCCTTGCAAATGCTCCACCTATTATCACTGCTCTTAAATGGAAAAAACCTTAAGAGTTAGAGCTGGCAGTGTTTTGTTAGGTAGCTGAGACCAGGGGTCCTGTCAGAATATTTTTAGAAAAATCAGATTTACAAGTAATCTTGTTTTCTCTCAGCTATCACAGAGTAAACGTCTCCTTTCTGATTCTTATGCATTAATGCATTACTGTGGTTTGAAAATGCTACACTGGGATGTTTGTCCAATAAATTACTCCATTGGGTTTTTAAATCCATGCAAACTGACTTTAGTCTGTAATTTTTTTCCCTCAAAAATATTTTTTCTACTCACAGCCTCTCTTCACACTTCGTTGTGTGACTATTTATATTGTTGAGTGTTGTGACAGTGCAGTTGTTCATGATAAAAGGTATGTGTACACACCAGACTTGCTTCGCTGCAGGACAAGTAGGAAAAAAGATGGAGTTTCCTGAAAGCTTTAATGATTAAAAGAGTTAGAGAATATTTTGACTTAGTATTTCTTCCCAAACTTCCTTCTGTGAGGTGCCCCAGGCTCTGTAAAATAAAACAATAACTCAAACTAATTGAGGGAGTAAAATATAAAGAAAGGAGCAGTAATTGAGGCAGACAATGGTAATAACTTTAGCGAGAGACTTAAAGTGCTCTCAAAGCAGGGAGAATGGTCCAAGATGCATGCCAAGTAAGAGTGAGTTTGTCACAAAGGGGCATACAATACCACATGCACAATGATCTGTTGCCTGCCAACCTAAGATACAACCACAAGATCACAAAGTTGGTGGGTTGTGTTTGAGCACAGAAGCAAACTAGACAACGGTTTAAAGGGTTCTCATTTGTTTATCCAAATAAAACTTCTTGACGTGTAGTTCAGAGAATGTTAATAACTATTCTGTTGTGCAGATAATGTCATACTGTCACTCAGCTTAATTTTCTGTGGTTTAAAATAGCTTAAACAAAATTGCAATAACACTTGGTTTTTAGGGCTGGTCAGATTTTACCAATGGATTTCTTTTCTTGCCTTTTGCACTGTTCGTAACCTGTTGACAGTATCTTCCTGGTAATGGGTTCCATTCCAGTGCTACATTAAATCCAATAATAGAAGACTGACAAACTCAGTGTCTCTTCTAGGTTTGGGGACAGACTTCATAAAAAGACACTGAAACGCTTACCCACTTTACAGGAAAACTGCTCTTTGGTCTTTTATAATAGTGACTTTCTGAAAAATGACTCACCAATTTGTAACAGTAATAGCATTGTGTGTGTAACTTTAGTACTTGGGATTTTTTATTGCAGAAAGTACTCACTGCCTGAGTATGTTATGAATTACCAGATTCTAATAAAACAGTTTCTCTGCTTCAGAGACATAAGCTGCAAACTAACAAATTAATGGAATTATCTGGAATTTTAGTTTTTGTTTTTGACCAAATGTGACTTTAGCATAGTTGCTGCAGTTCAAAAAAAGCAGTTTTAAAGGAATATAATCAAACCTTGATACTGAGGAGTCATGTTCATACTATAACTTGTTCTGTTCAGTTTTATTTTAAATATGTTAGATACATCTTGCCCACAAATTACCTCAATAAATCTTAGTCTTCAGTATTTAGCAAAATTAGTCACATTTTGTAGTGGAGATTGTCTTCCAGTCTTAACTATCAGGATTCTGTAGGTGCCATGCTCTCAAGCTACAGTGATTCACTTTCAGACTATCACTTCAGTAAGTGGTTTTCTAAACAAACATTCGAGAAGGTTTCAAACTATAAACATGTCAAAGAGCATTTAATATATTGCTCTGAGCTATCATCCTGAAGAGAGATGTAATGATGCCATACAAAATAGTATTGCTCTAACTTCATTTTTATTTTTTTATATATCTGGCTTTCTTAATTCTGTAATATTGTTCTGAAAACTAACTTCTTTTCTGGGGGAGGAAAGGGTGTTGGCATTCCGTTGTTGTCTAATTCCATTTCAGATCTGCTTCTAGTTGCACAGCACTGCCAGCCCTGCAAATGTTTTCACAAGTCAACTATAGTAAAGATTTTGCCAGCCAAATGATGGCCATCAGTTATCCCGTGTAACATGAGTTGCATTCAGTGGGGTTATATAGGTGTTTATTTCAATTTTTTAAAAATTAATTACATTTCTAAATAAAATACAAAAATGTTTTATTTCAAAATGAACAGGTTTTTTTGTTTAAAGATTCCATTCCTTCATTCCCATTTTTTTCAGCCACAACTATTAAATGAATTCAACCTGAATTTGTGGATTGTTTGTGTTGTTCTCCCCCCTCCCCACCCCAAAGGAGGAATTTCCTGGCAAGTTTACTACTTGCCAACACTTTTTTTTTGCCCAGCTCTAGTCATCACTAGTGACAGTCAAGTTTGACTTTCAGAGCCCAAGCTGAGTTTGTATAAATTCTACAGACTTTACAAGTCTCCCCCTCACCTTTTTAGTTTTACAAACTCCGTAAGGTGCAACCCCTGTTGTTGTTGTTAGAGGATCAAAGTATAACCACCGTAAGTACAAAAATAACTAGTGGAGCTGTGTCCAGTTTCTAGTCCCCCTTTCTATCCTCCCCTGGTCTAGCAAGGCTGCTGCATTTCTTC